GGCTGCACCACTGTGACCGTGGTCTTCAAGTCCTCGCCATGGCGCTGCTGGTTTCCCGTGGCATGTGTGTCTGAGAACCCATCTTGCTGCACATCTACGCTGGTCTTCCAGCTCTTGGCAACCGGAGGCTTGTCCTTCAAGGACTCCCAGAACTCAGCACCATCGCTCCCTGTCTCCTCCATGATCCACACTTCGGCGGAATGTGCCTCCGCGGTCTTCCTCGACTTTGGAATTCTTGGCTGCCTCTTCTCAGGGCACTCCCTCTTCCCAATGTCCTGTCTTCCGACAGTAGTGGCACTGGTTTTGCTCTTCAGAACTTCAAGCTTGCCTCGGACTGTGCCCGAGAGTCTCCACTGGCTCGGATCATCCTTGCCAGCAGGTGCAGTGAATCCGCGCAGCTTCTTCTTTCTCCATAAGCTTTCTACGGATCTCTGTTTAGCTCTCAAAAAACATCCAGGGCATCCTCTTCATCTCCCCCGGACTGGTAGGGATCGGTGATCACCTCCAGAACTTCTTCTAGATTGTCACCCTCTTCCACAAAGCTGCCAACAGCTCCAGGGCTAGACTGCATGTCTTCTGTCTGAAACACTTCTTTTTGAGACTTTGCTGATCCCCTTCCTTCTGGAAAGATGCCTCTGACATTCGCCAGCACCTCCTTGACTTCCAGGCTCCCTTTGGTAGCCGTCATAACAAGGCTTTCCTGCGTATTGTCAAGACGAAGCTTTCTCAAAAGAAAAAACCCTTGAACCTCCTTGGGCAGAGTCACATTCTGCTCCTTCAGTTTTCTCAGCGCAGCATCAAACCTGGCAATGAATTGCTGGAATGTCTCTCCTGGCTTGATGCTAAGCTCGTAGAAGAAGCCCTTGAGCGCCTGCTGCATCAAGTCTCTAGGTTGTGGCAAGTACTTCTCGTCAAGGACCTTGAAGATCTCTTCGTCTCCACCTTCTTTCACTAAGGTGTCAACATCTATTGTCTCCAAGAGAGACTCTGCTTCTCCCTTCACATACTTCATGAGTCTAGCTCCAAACTTGGCTGCCGTCACTGTCGACGGAAGGCCCGCCAGCATCAATCTGGCTCGTCTCTTCCACAGTCTATACTGTGATGGATCTGAGCCGTCAAACGTATCGAGCTTTCCATCTTCGTCCGCAGCCGAGCTCGTTGCCATGGCGTCGCCCTATTGATCAGGGCTCCGCTACCACTGTGACCCTCAATGGAGTCACAGTGGTGCAGAGATCGACCTTTTTCTACGAAGCTTAAGCCCCACACGCTCAGCACCTCACAATCAGATGTGAACGACATCAACATGGGATAGTACCGCACAAGGCGGTGGCGGAAGTTTCAACAATAGGAAACCTATAGGAGAGGTTGGTGGTTGTGAATCAGGGATGGCAGAGCGAAGCCACTGATGGACTGAAAGGTGCTTGAGGTCTCCTCTTTTTCTCTCTCTGTCTCTGACTATCTACCCACTTACCTACCTATCTATCTATGTATCTATGTATCTATCTATCTATCTATCTATCTATCTGTCTATAGATCTATCTCTCTCTCTTTCATCTAATTACCTAGCTACCTATCTATCTATCTATCTACCTATCTATCTGTCTATCTATCTATCTATCTACCTATCTATCTATCTATCTACCTATCTAAATATCTATCTAATTTATCTATCTATCTATCTCTCCCTTTCATCTGTCTATCTGTCTACCTGTCTACCTGTCTATCTATCTATCTATCTTTCTATCTATCTATCTATCTATCTGTCTACCTGTCTATCTGTGGTGCAGTGTCATTCAGTGTAATGTAGTGTGGTGTAGTGGAGTGTGGCGGAATGTAGCGTAGTGTAGTGTAATGTAGTGTAGTGTAGTGCAATTTAGTGTAGTGGAGTGTAGTGGAGTGTAGTGGAGTGTAGTGGAGTGTAGTGGAGTGTAGTGGAGTGTAGTGGAGTGTAGTGGAGTGTAGTTGTAGTTGTAGTTGTAGTTGTAGTGCAATGGAGTGTAGTGTAGTGTAAGGTAGTGAAGTGTAGTGGAAGATGGTGTAGTATAGTGTAATGTAGTGTAGTGGAGTGCAGTGTAGTGTAGTGTATTGTGATGTATTGTAGTGTAGTGTAGTGGAGCGTAGTGTAGTGTAATTTAGTGTGGTGTAGTTTAGTGTAGTGGAGTGTACTGGAGTGTAGTGTAGTGTAATGTAGTGTGCTGGAGTGTAGTGTAGTGTCCTGGAGTGTAGTGTAGTGTAATGTAGTGTGCTGGAGTGTAGTGGAGTGTAGTGTAGTGTAATGTAGTGAAGCGAAGCGACATCTGAACCTCCAAAAGTGGTCCGAACCCCTGGTGTTTTTAACATTTCGACTTCGAAAGGTGCTTCGCGCCACAACGGCGTGCACTTTTTCGACATCTGAACCTCCAAAACTGGTCCGAACCCCTGGTGTTTTTAACATTTTGACTTCGAAATGTGCTTCGCGCCACAACGGCGTGCCCTCGCCCTTGCGCTTGCCCTCCGCTCACTTTTTTTTCGACATCTGAACCTCCAAAACTGGTCCGAACCCCTGGTGTTTTTAACATTTTGACTTCGAAATGTGCTTCGCGCCACAACGGCGTGCACTTTTTCGACATCTCAACTGCCAAAAGTGGTCCGGAGCTGGTGTGTTTTGTACATTTTGACTTGGAAACGTGATTCGCGCCACAACGGCGTGCAATTTTTCATCTCTCATCTGGCCAGATGGCTCTGCACCCGCCGCTTTAGCGAGCCTACTTTTTCGACCCTCCGGAGCCACAAATCATTGGAAAACACAAGGTGTTTCGTGACTTTCCTACCTTTTCACGATGATGGACAATGTGCAATCATGAGTTCAGATTGGAAACTGGTGTGTGTCTCTTTCAACCTCCATGCTCTGTAACCAGCATGAAGTAGCTATACATCTTCGAATTGGGTTCTGTCTTCGGCCTATCTTGGGCCCATGTTGTGCCTATGTTGGCCCTATGTTGGCCTATGTTAGCCCTAGCTTGGCCTATGTTGGCCCTGTCTTGGCCCTATGTTGGCCCCATGTTGACCCATCTTAGGGCCTATGTTGAAAGACCTCCAAGATGCCAATTTTTCCTTCCCGGACCCTTCCGCGGAACCAAAACCACGTAAAAACCACGTTTTTTTCCCATTTCGCCGACGCAAAAGTTGTGCTCGTCCAAGCGCACAAAACACCGTAAAAAACCAATGTTGTTTTTTGTGACCTCACGCGCGCACGCACGAAACACCGTAAATTAACGGTCGGGCTGGTTCGGGGGTGGGTCGGCGGCAGGGGCGGCCAGCGTATATCCGGCCAGGGGCCCGCCGGGCCCACGTGGTAGGTACGGCAGTTCTCTCCTCTCCGAAGGAGACCCTGCCGCCGACCACCCCCCCCCCGGCAAAAACCCCCCCGCGTTTTACAGTGTTTTTTGCTGTTCCCATTTTTTCCCATTTTTCGGAGTTTGTGGCTCGAGATGGGTCAACATGGGCCAACATAGGCCTTAAGATCGGCCAGCATAGCCTCAAGATGGGCCAACATAGCCCCCAAGATGGGCCAACATAGCCCCAAGATGGGGGCCAACATAGCCCCAAGATAGGCCGCCCATCAAAATATCCTGCGTTTTACAGTGTTTTTTTGCTGTTCCCATTTTTCGGATCTTTTGGCTCAAACATGGGTCAACATGGGCCAACATAGACATCAAGATCGGCTGACATAGGCCTCACGATCGAAGATAGGCCAACATAGGCCAACATAGGCCAACATAGGCCAACATAGCCACAAGATGGGCCAACATAGTTAGGCCCGGAGCTGGCCGTGGCATTGCCGTACGGCAGTTCTCTCCTCTCCGAAGGAGAGAGGGGCCGCCACCCCTACCGCCGACCACCGCCGTAGACCGCGTGTCGCCCTGTGTTTCATGGTGTTTTTGGCTGTTCCCGTTTTTTCCCATTTATGGGAGCATGTGGCTCAAGATGGGTCAACATGGGCCAACATAGGCCTCAAGCTGGGCCAACCTAGCCTCAAGATGGGCCAACATAGCCCCCAAGATGGGCCAACATAGGCCTCAAGATGGATCAACATAGCCTCCAGATGGGGCAACATGTCTTGAAAGAGCTACAGTTGTTGTGGTCGTCGTTGTTGGTTGGTGGTTGGTGGTTGGTTGTTGGTGGTTGGTTGTTGGCGGTGGTGTTGGTTGGTGTTGGTTGGTGATGGTGGTGGTAGTGGTGGTTGTTGTTGTTGTTGTGGTGGTGGCGGGTTTCCTTGTTGTTGAAGGGTCAAAACTCTTATTCCCTGGCGAGCTCCCCCTTTGCTTGGCCGGGGTCGGCGGATATATAGTTGTTGTATATATATATATAGTTTTTATAGTTATACAGATAGTTATATATATATACAGTTACACATATATATATAGTTACATAAATGCTTGTTTATATTTATATATATATATAGTAATGTATGTATAGTTATTTCTATAGTTATAAATACAATCATATATATATATGTATACTTATAGTTTTAAATGTAGTCATATATATATAGTTATTTTTATCGTTATACAATCTATAGTTATATATATATATATAGTTTTTTTTGAAAAATATATTTGTAGATATGAGCAAATATATTTAAATATAAATATATAGTCATACTTATATATATATAAATTTATCTACATATATATATATATCATATAGTTATATATGTAGTTGTTTTTTTTTATTGTTCTATATTTAGTTATATATATACACTTTATATACAGTTACATTTAAAGTTATATATATAGAGGTATATTTTCAGTTATATAGAGTTATGTTTTTAGTTATAGATTTTTAGTTGTATATAGTTTTGTATATAGTTATATTTGTAAATATATATATAGTTATTTACATAATTGCATATATATGTATAGTTATATATATATATATTACTATGATAAGATACCATGAGAAAATATAATGGGGTGCTTCGCGCTAACGAAGCCATGGGGAAGTGAATCTGGGTTCAGGATGAGGATCGACGGGAGGCCAAGGGTGTGGCTACCACCTGTGAGCCATGTGAAGCCAAGGTGTGGACTGGAGGGCTGTGGGTGTCATGGAGGTTGCATTTCATGAAACTTTTAGATTCATTAGATAATATTAGATACAAACAGTACCTTGGGTGAAGGGAACAGGCTGTGAATCCCAGTCGTGGCAACAGTGTCACTGGTTTAATTTCAGGTATAGCTTATAGGACACCATGGGTTTTGCACAATTGTCTTGTGTTTTACACAGCGCCTTGCACGATGCTTGACATCTTGCTGTATCATAATTCACCATTTTTTGCGGTGTTTCCTGTGTCTCTTCGCATGGCCGGCCTGGCCAGGAAGTTGTGCTGGAGTTGCAGCAGCTCCGTGAGCAGGTGAAGGAGATCAAGGAGGTGGGCGAAGCATGGAGGCTGTATCCACTAGTATCCACTAGTGACACATGGTCTAACATAGTCTGACACATAGTTACACTGGTTGACACACTGGTGGTGGTGGTGCTGGTGGTGGTGGTGGTGGTGGCCGTAGTGGTCGTAGTAGTCGTAGTCGTCGTCGTAGTAGTAGTAGTAGTTGTTGTTGTTGTTGGTTGTTGGTTGGCTTTGTTTGCGTTGGGTTTGTGTTGTTGTTGTGTTAGTAGTTAGTGAGGTAGTAGTTAGTAGTTAGTAGTTAGTAGTTAGTAGTTGGTAGTTGGTAGTTGGTAGTTAGTAGTTAGTAGTTAGTAGCTAGTAGTAAGTAGTAAGTAGTGAGTAGTGAGTAGTGAGTAGTAAGTAGTAAGTAGTAAGTAGTATGTAGTATGTAGTATGTAGTATGTAGTATGTAGTATGTAGTATGTAGGCAATATGCACAGATGAAGAGCAGAGATGGGAAGAGTCAGAGAAGAGAAGAGAAGAAGAAAGAAGATCAAAAAGAGAAAGAGTGAGAAGAAAGAAGATCCAGGTGCGCGAAAAGGTAGGAAAGTCGCGAAGCACTGTGTTTTTCCAATGATTTGTGGCTCCGGAGGGCTCCGGAGGGTCGAAAAGTAGGCTCGCTAAAGCGGCGGGTGCGGAGCCATCTGGCCAGATGAGAGATGAAAGATTGCACGCCGTTGTGGCGCGAAGCCCATTTCGAAGTCAAAAATGCACAAAACACCTCATGTTCGGACCGCTTTTGGAAGTTGAGATGTCGAAAAAGAGCACGCCGTTGTGGTGCGAAGCACGTTTCGAAGTCAAAAGTGTAAAAATCTGAGGGGTACGGAGAGGATGCATGTCGCGTGGCAGGCGCAGTACAAGAGACATGTTCATCAGAGATGTTAGGAGGTCAGGGCGCTGATTTCCTGAGAGGGGTGGCATTCTGGAGCATCAGATCTTCAGTTTTGGGAAGATGATTTTGCGTGACAGGTGCAGCACTTCGTATGACAGACAGACAGACAGGCAGACAGACAGGCAGACAGACGGACAGACAGATAGACAATTACAACTACAACTACAGCTAGAACTACACTACACACACACACACTACTGCTACAATTACAAATGCAAATATACTACGCTACACTGCACTACACTACGCTAATTGAATCTAAATACGCTACACTACACCAATTACATTACAACTACAACTACTACAACTACAACTACTACAACTACAACTACTACAACTACAACTACAACTACTACAACTACAACTACAACAACAACAGCAACAACAACAACAACAACAACAACTACTACTACTACTTCTACTTCTACTTCTACTTCTACTACTACCACTACTACTAACTAACTACTACTAACTACTACTAACTACTACTAACTACTACTAACTACTACTACTACTACTACCACTACTACTACTACTACCACCACTACTACTACTACTACAACTACTACAACTACTACAACTATTACAAATACTATACTACAACAACAACTACTACTAGTACTACTAGTACTACTAGTACTACTAGTACTACTAGTACTACTAGTACTACTAGTACTACTAGTACTCCTAGTACTACTAGTACTACTAGTAC